AGATGTGTGTGTCTCAGATGTGTGTGTCTCAGATGTGTGTGTCTCAGATGTGTGAGGCTCAGTTCTGGTCCAGTATACATTCGAGTGAAGCTTGTTGTGTTTGGCCTCAGGTTCAGTGGAGGGTCTGGATGCTCATCAGGTGAACGGATACGTGATCCACGACCTGGACAGCCTTGAAAAGGTGGAGATCCCGTACCCGCAGGAGAAGGGAAGTGTTCAGTGTGGRTTTGCCTTCCATCATGGACGATTCATTACAGGCCTGAGGAGAGCGGCCAGAGCTGAGCCAAAGTAAGCAGAGTCATAAGGAAAGCTTGCATTTTTCTGTGAAATGCTGCTGAGTGCTGAGTTACTTTGCTGAAATTAGTTAAAGGAGCTGAAACTGAATTGTTCAAAGGCTGAACAAAAATAAAACGAGCAGCTAAAAGCTGAAACCAGCAAATCAGTAATGCAGTCGCTGCCTTCAGGGCTGAGATTCACCTGCTTCAACATAGTTTCAGTAAAATCGTTAAATGTAGAAAATAGAAGATAAAATGATTCAAAAAATTAAACAAAATGAACAATACAGTTGATAAAAACTAAGATTAGCTAAACATTAGCTAAAATCTAAATCTGTGGCAAATAGCTAAAATGTGCCAAACAGTAGCTAAAGCTAAAACCAGTTAAAGTGTTTAAATAAAGTAAAAGCAAAATAAGCAAAATTTTAGCTAATATGCAAAGAAAGGCTAACTGCTACATTTAGGAAAATTGTCATTAAATGCTAAAAATAAAAAGGTCCAAGTAAAATCTAACATTAGCTAAATATTAGGTAGAGCACACAAGGCCTGACTCCCGTGTGCCCCCTCCCCCCCTAAAAAAACCTTCTTTTTTTGACTTAACATGAAATTTGTTTCTTATATCAATGGTAAACTTTAAATTTATGATTAAATGCAACAAAATAAACTTAAAATGTGAAAGATAATAATAATTGTCCTGCCCCTGTTACTCAGTTACTTAAAGCTGTTGGCTTTAAGTAACTGAGCAATTTAGTTGGACAGCACAATCTGAAAATAAGCTGCTTTAAAGTTGGCATCAATCATAAACTAAATCTGCTGTAATGCATATTAGCTCACTAGAAACTCAGTGAGAAAAACGTTATTAGTTTTACTTTTAATAATATTTCTGTATTTATTTCTGATTTAGTCAGTCGTACACTCAGTTCTTATCAGTGTTTAAAAGAGGACATGTTAAAACTGTTTAGTCAAAGTTAAACATGAAACGTCAAAGTTCATTACAGCTGGCCCTTCGAGGGCCACCATAACGCTCATGTGGCCCTCGGTGAAAATGAGTTCGACACCCCTGCATAGAGCTAGTTCATGCTGCCAGGAACCGTTGTGGACAGAGGCCTGCCCTTGCTACAAGCTGGCCTGCATGGTGCCCGACTTTGTCAGTCCTCGCAGGTGCTGGATCCACGTGGTGGTGGCATCCTGTCTCCTTTTATGTCTTGGCCCCTCTGAGAACCCAGGACTGAAGGTTTGACCACCAGGGTCTCTTCCCAACCCCCAGGCCTGGCTCCAGGACATGGAATACACTGATWTCCTTTCTCTGGGTGAGGTTTCTATCCTCGTCCAGAGATACCTATCCTTCAAGACTTTGGAAATAGTTTTGGTCTGGAAGCTTCCAGGATCAGGGTGTGTGTGTGGGGTGGTGGGGGGTCTCCTTCAGGTTTTGAAGTGATGTCTGTTAAACTGGTTTTCATTGTTTTTGATTTATTCACGTTTTGACCTGAAAGGCTGTGGAAATAGTTTTGGTCTGGAAGCTTCCAGGATGTGCGTGTGTGTGTGGGGTGGTGGGGGGGGGCTATTCAATAGCAGGCACAGCTACAGAAAGACAGAAGTCATGGCCCACCGGCCACCAATTGTCCATTCCTGATCTAAAGGTTTTGGGTTAATTTGGGTTCTTCTTCTTCTTCTTTTATTTATTAATTTTTTGAGAAGGGCTCATCTGGATTTTTGTGAAGTTCACGTGCAGCATTACCTTTGGTTTATATGACATTTTATTTCCTGTTTTCTATTTTTCTGTTTTAGTTGCGTGGCATCACCTCCCTTTGTCTCACCTGGTCGTTGTTAGTAATCAGCACACCTGGACTTCATTTACTGATTAAGTCCCTATGGCTTACTGTTTCTTGGTTTTCTTTGCTCAGTGGTAGCAGATGTGATAAAATGGGAAAATAACAATAATGGATAAATAACTATCAGTCAGTATGTATAAAAGTAAAAAAGTAGAAAATTTAAAATAAGCAGATAAGCAAAATCCTGATGTCTTTAAATTCTCTTTGACTTGAAATTGTGAGTCGGACTAATATTAACTGTACGTAGGTTCAAATTCACAGACAGAGCAAATAATCATTGGTGTTTTTATTTCTTCACATTGTTCTTTTTATCTGGACTGTAAGCACCACAGATGTTCTTTGTGTGTAAAAGATTAGTTGATGCTACTAAATAGCCTAAATCCCTTTGACTTATTTAACTAAATTAAAACAAACATTAAACATATAAAGCTTGTTAAAAGGCGGAGGGGAAAACTACAGGGAGGAAATGAATCAGCTGCCAAATTACTTATCTGTGCCAAATCAGCCATGTGTTGTGCTTCCCCCAGCAGATCCGAATCTGCCAGATTCAGTGTCCAACCTTCACCTTTCCTGTCTCTGCTAAAGATGGCGTGCCAACGTCCAGACGGCCACGGGGTTTTTTTTTTTGTAGCTGTCGTAGTAAAGTCCAACCAAGGCTGTGGGTGAGAGGATGGAGGTCACTGAGGGTTTCAGCAGCTCATTTATTTCATACCGGCAGGTTTAGGAGTTTGATGTTTAAATAAAACAGATCTCTTAGAAGACTTCAGTTTCACATTTGTTTCGCTTTGACAAGTTTTTTCNGTGGGGTGGTGGGGGTGGGGGTGGGGGTAAAACCCCTCCACCATGTTAATTTTCCAGAGGGGCTGTTCTCATGTGCTGGGGGAGTTCATGGAATCCAAATGGACCATTTGTTGCAGATGCAATTCTAGGAGCTGTGACCTGAGGGTCATTGGTGCCGGTTGTGGTAACCAAAGGAGCAACTGGTGCACACCGGTGCTGAYGGAGGCCATCAGGAGGAGGCCTTCAGGGCCTGGAGGACTCCTGAAGCAGCTGAAAGGTACAGGGTGGCCAGGAGGACGGAGGCTTCTGTGGTTGCAGATGCAGAAATCTGGGCATGGGAGGAATTTGGAAACACCAGGAAGAGGGACAATTGTTGGACTCTGGGAGGTTCTGGCAAACCGTTCAGTGACTCCGACAAAGGAATCAGGCCCAGTCCCAGGCTGGGCTTTAGTTGGGTGGAGAACTGCTGACCTGGACTGAGGACATCATTGAGCGATGGAACACTTTTARGATCTCATTGATCCGGCCCTTTAAAAAGATCACTTCACCCACYTTTATCTGGGTTCTTGTTTTTTCATTCAGTATCCATATTTCATCACCACAGGCGAGGGTTGGAATGTTTACTGATCTGTGATCTGTTTGATCATCATCATCATCATCATCTTCATCCTCCCATCACTCAGGATCAAAATGCTCAGATAATTAAACTCTTCCACAAAGACAGTAGAGGTGGTTCATCTGATTAGTCCTGCATTTGGAAGTTTTCTGGGCATGTCCCAATGGGAAAAGACCCCCAGACAGACCCAGAATTTACTGCAGGGATTATATATCTGGGAACACCTTGGGGTACCCCAGGAGGAGCTGGGCAGAGGAAGGTCTGGGTTTCGCTTCTGAACTTGTAACTTCCATGACCTGACCATCAATAAATGGTAATTAGTCAAAAGTTTAAAAAAATGCAGCTACAAACAGTGGCTAAAACCTAAAATCAGCCTAATATAAAATACTTGCTACCATGAACAAATCTGTAACTAAAGACAAAACTATCAAACTGATAGCTAAGAGCTAAAACAAAGTAAAAGGTGAAAGTAACAAAATAACAAGCTGGTAAATAAGATCAACAGATTTGTGGAGAAATGGAGTGAAAAATCATAAACAAGTCTAAAAACAAACAAAAAAAAGCAGTTGCTGTGTTTTTAATATTTATCTAAAGCTTTAGTTAAAGAGACAGACGCTGTTCTGAAACAGGGTGTGGCTAACTGTTTACCTGCGCCCCCTAGTGTCACATTCGTAGAAGGCACCGTGATCAGTCTGCAGGAGGAGGACGGCTGTGTGACCGGAGTCCAGTACAAAGATAAAGAAACTGGAGGCATCAAGGTGAGAGGAACACCCTTCACACTCAGGTCACATCCAAACCTGGTGTTCCTCTCAGTGAGCMGAGTGTCTCTGTCCTGCAGCTGGTCCACGCTGCTCTGACTGTGGTGGCTGACGGCTGCTTCTCCAAATTCAGGAAGACTCTGGTCCCTGGGAAAGCTCGCATCTCCTCRCATTTTGTTGGATTCCTCATGAAGGTGAGAGATGGACTGGCATGAAGAAACAGTTACAGTTTATTTATTTATGTTTATATGTTTACAGTTTATGTACTGGTTATTTATTTATTGTTTATTTATGTTTATATATTTATAGTTTATATACTGGTTATTTAT